CACCGCAGCTGTGCCCATGTGCACATTGCACACACCCCCACACACCCCAACACGTAGCCACCTACATCACACACCCCCAAATACAGCTCTCCTCCGCTCCACATCCATTCGTCCTGCACCTTCACCTCCACAGCCTAATACCCCAACGCGGCCCCAGACCTACCCTCACCTCCCACTGCACACTCCCTCCTCGGCCCGGTCCCCAGTAGCATTCTCACACCCACAGCTTGCCTTCTCTGAGTGGAAAAGTTGTGAGGCGCTGGGGCAGCCCGTTCAGGGAGGTGAGGAGGGTGGCTGGCAGGAGGTGTTGGAGGTGGGGGGTGTGTGTGCAGCGTGGACAGATACAGCTCTGCAGAGGCGGAGAGGGAGGGGGAAGGGAAGGCGCGGGGTGTGGAGGTGAAGGGAGGAGGAGCGGAGGGGCATGGAGGTGTTGGCTGCTGCGGCAGGGGTGGGGGAGAGAAGAAGGAGCAGGGATGCCCAGGTGCAGGGTCCCCAGGTAAGTGCCAGGCCAGGCCGTGCAGTGCCTCAGAGTACACCCCCCCCCCCCCCCCCCCCCCCGCGGAGAGGCGCTAATCACGGTCAGGGTCAGGCTCTGGCAGCCACCGCGCTGTCTACAAGGGTCAATTTGGGTGCTTCCAGCGGCCCTGGCGCTTTTGGAAAGAAGGAAGAGGGAACAAAAGGGGTATGGGAGCAGGGAGGCGGTTGATTTAAGCCTGCACTTCAGCATGTGTTTTCGCTGCCACTAGCGAGAAAAAAGCCCAGACTCGGAGAGAAAGGGGCGCAGTGGGACCCGCAGTTTGCCCACGCTGTGGGGGCGCAGTGGCCGCGGTGGAGTAAGACGTAAGACCGAGTGCGAATCCGGCTCACCCGCTCAGGCCAGCTCTGCAAAGAGAGGGGCAGAGGGCATTCCCCAGGCGGTCGGGGCTCCCCCTCTGAGCGCAGGCCCATGGTGGGGGGGGCGGGAGGTGGTGCCCCAGCCCCAACTCTGGAAGCAAATCAGAGGGGGCAGTGCATGAATTCCCTCGACCTGCCCAAAAGTGCCCTTCCTCGTATTATTCTCATTACGGCATTTTAAATTATTTCCCTTTTAAAAAAATAAAAGAAACAGAAAAGCACAGAAGGCACTTGTTTGGTTTCATTCTGCCTTCACAGCTTTAATGACTCTATTTGTGGAAGCTGTTTAGGAAACTGGTGAAGAGGAGGCCAGGATAGGCGCCGCTGTGGCCTGGGATGCCAGCTTCCTCCTTTCTCCCCTGGGGGCCACCCAGCCAGGGAGCTGGTTCTCTCCACCCCACAGCCCCAGTCCCAACTGGGGACCCTGCCTCTCTCCCTTTCCTACAGGGTGGCTGCCCCCCAACTCCAGCGGGCTGAGTCAAAAGAACACACAGCCTAGCCTGCAGCAGAAGGGATCTTTCTCTACCTCATTCCCAAAGTCCTAGGCAGCCCATGCCCTTCTTAGAAGACACTGGTGAGGAGGCGAAGGAGAGATGGGAAACAGATCTCATCTTAGGCCTGACAGCCAACGGCCACAGGGTGCGCAGAAGATGGGCTGCCCCGAAGTTTCAATATAGGAAGTAAAACTATATTCTGCCTCATTTATATAAATGAAGGCAAAGCTTTAAAATGTAGAGCCAGGTAGGCCCACAGTCCAAGGGAGCGTGGCCTGTGACAGGTCTCACGTTGGACAGATTAGGGATCAGGAGTGGAGCTACCTTTGGGCCCTTGGCTAGCCGCAGGGCCTTGCTTCTGACCTATGGCCTAGCCCTGTTCCACCCCTCTGGGGTAAGGGTTCCTGACTCTACCTCTTCACCACCACCACCACCCTCCCCCCATCTCATCTGACCTAACTACCCAACAAATCTTATCTTTAGCTGCCGGCCTTTTGTGGGGCCTCAATTCGGCATATCTGTCCCAGATCCATCCATGCTGGCCAGTCCCGCAGCCTGGTGGAATGAAGGAGCCAGAACTAGCCTGAGGTTTGAGGCCCGAGTTCAGATTCCAGATCTACCCTTGAGTCCCAGTGTAACCCCAGGGCAAGTCAGGGCCTGTCCCAAAGCTTCGGCATAAATAAGGGGGTTGGAATAGAGGGGAACTGTTTTGTCCTCCGGAATTCCCAGTTTGGGGTGAGGGTGGGGGGTGGAGAGGGGAGGGAGGAGAGAAATTACCTCTGAAGTTCCTCCCCTGCAGTGATACTTCGACTATAATGAGAAATCGCATTAAGACACTCGAGATTTTCCATTTGCTTGAGATGGGTGTTGCTACAGTGTAGAGAGAGAGCCAAGGATGGGCCACCACACCACCCTCCCCTACATGCACACAGAGCAGAGACCCTAGGAAAACTCAGATTTTAATTGCATCTTAAAAAGAAGTGTGATGATGACACCATAGTTCCTTCTCGGCCACCCTAGCCAGAGGCCATGGCAAGACTCATTAAAAGCTCCAGGAAAGGCTAAGGGGCAGGTGGGGTGAGGAGATCCTCAGGGCTAATCCAGGCTTTTGAAGTGGCCTCTGCTGGCCAGTCACTTGCTGACATCGCCTTCTAAGGCTCCAGGGTTTTATGGTTCCGGGTTTGATTTCTCCACCATCAAACTTGATGGCTTAAAAATCCTAAGTGCTGTCAAGGGAGCTCATCCCCGTATTTACTGGGGAGGGGGGCGGTGAAAGGAAAGAAAGAGAGGTGCCTGCCACCTGAGGGGAGCCTGCATGTCCCCTAGAAAGAGCCCCCCCACCACCACCGAGAAAGCCTTATCTCCCTCAGCCTTTTATAAGCCTCAAGGCAGAGATGGATGGGGCCCTGAGGAGGAGTCCAAGGCGACAGGAACCAGCCTGACTATTGGAGAGGAGCAGTCCTGCACACAAGTCTGTGCTCTGTGGTCAAGGGAAGGCGAGATGTGAGGAAAGCCAACACTCCGGCCTTGCTTTTCCCCATCAGTGAAATGGGACTCATGAGGGATCCAACAGGCAGACCCAAAGAACATTCTGAAAGATGTTCCGTGCCTGTGGCATTAAAGAAACGAGCTGTGTAGGAGGAAGGTGCCTTGTTCTCCCTCCTGAAGGCAGATTTCTAAGGGCTTCGCATTCTGGGCAGAGGGAAGGCTGCAGGCCCACCCCACCCGTTGGCCCCTCTCTAGACTGGTGGGCAGGCAGCCCCTGCCGTGCTAAGTAATGAGCACAATTCCAACACGGGTTCTGCTCACTAGTGAGAAATCAAAGCCCGGAATTAGAGGCCATTTCTGGCTGGGCTCCGTTTGTGCCCAAATCCATCAAAGCCCTGGGCCTGGGGTTTCCTCTGGGGAAGGTGGGGGCTGGATGCTTTGTTAAGCAGGAAAGGCAGGCCACCCCCAGCCTCCCCAGCTCTGGAGAACTCTGGGCCAACCAGTCTTGTCTTTTTCCTGCCCAGCGGAGACCCTCCCCCCACCCTCAGGAACCTCAGTATTTATTCCTGATGCCATTGCCCGGTTGGTTCTAAAACAGTTTCCCAAGCGCCGATCCTGCCCAAGTGCCGATCCAAGTGCCATTTACAAAGACTTCGCCCTACCCTTCAATCACCTCCCCTCAAACACCCTCAAACCAGAAACCAACACCCCAGCCCAGCACCTCCCACATTAAACTGCACTCTTTAAAACAAGGTTGGTCATTGAGCAGCCTGCCCCCTCCCCCACCATTACCTTCCAACTTCAAAACACTGCTTTAAATACCAGAGTCTGCCCAAATCGTAATTAACCTGGATCAAATGATTGTGTCGTAACTTTACAACACAGGGCTGGAAAAAAAAAAAAAAGTGGAGGATGTGCTAGAACCAAGCCCTTGCTCCAAGGCCGTGGGAATCGTTCATTCCAGAGTGAGGAATCTTTGGCTATTGGGGTGTCTGGGGGGGTGGGGTGGCGGATGCCAACGTCGCGGCGAGGGTGGAAGGGGGAGGGCTGCGCCACCTCGTCTACTTTCTGAGCCAGGGTTCCAGCCCCATTCTCAGCCTCAACTCGGAGGGCTCGGCGCAGGACGCCCCCTACCCATCCCACCCACCTCGCCCCGCCCCGCCCCGCCCAGGGAGCGGGGATGTCCTGCCGCCGTCGTCCGCCCAACCAAAGAAAGGTTGGCGCCCCTACGTCCACCGGCTCGCAGGGAAGACAGCCCAGGCAGAGACGCGGGGCCCAGCTACAGCCGAGGGGGACGCGACACAACCACGGCGTGGTGCTGGTGGCGGCAGGCACTTTTAATTTAGGAGCCCACGAAGCCCCTTAAGACATCCTGCAGGCCCAAAGTAGGCAAGCGCACCTTGTCTGCTCCCGGGACGGGGAGAATGTCAGTGGCCCATTTAAAAGGAAAGTTGGCAGCATCACTGTGTGCTCCCCTCCACCCCAACACACATACATACCAAACCCCAGGAAATATCCCTCCAGACGAGCGGATCCTGTGGTCGCGGGGAAGGCTGTGAGAGCGGTATTCAGCCCTTCCCCCTTCGATAGCCCTTCAAGCCGGCCTCCTCCCGCTGGCCGAGCGGACCCGCGCTTCCCGAGCTCAGCAGGTCTTTCTATCCCTCCCTCCCGTTTCCCGATTCCGGCGGGTGCAGCGCGTAGGAGCTCGGACGAGCCAGGACCCCGACTAGGAAGTTTCCGGCGAACGGCAAGCAAACGCACCTGACCGAAGCAGCAAGTCTTTTTTTGTTTGTTGGTTTCCTCGTCTCCGTGTGCCGGGAGCCGGGTGCCCTGGAGGCCAGTCCTCCGGAAGGAGCAGACCTCGACTCGGACACCGGTTCCAAGGAAAAGAAGTGATCCATTCTAGGCGGGGGCAGGAAGCTTACTCTGAACCACCTGGCCTGCGCCGCCCGAGAGGTGGCTGCGCCATCGCCCACTTTGGTGGGCGGAGAAATCTACGTTCTAACTTGGGTGCCCTTGCGCTTTCCCCCTGCACATCGACGCACTGATGGACCACTCCAACTTCGGGAGACTGGGGCGCAAAGGTCCCCTATACGTCCGCCCCCGTGCCCGATCGCTCCCTACCTGCTTGGCTCAGCCTCGGGTCCCAGCAGAGCAGCAGCGCCAGCAGCAGCGCGCCCCGCGATCCGCTCCGGGCCCACATGCTCCCGCGGCCAGGCTCGGGCGCCTCTCCCCCGGGGCTTTCTCCCTGGCCCCAGCCTCGCCGCCGCCGTCTCCGCCGCCGCCGCCGCCTCCTCGCCGTCCTCCCCGGCGCTCGGCCGCGCCAGCCCGTGCCCTCCGTGGGGGCAGCGGCAGCCACGCTGCGCAGAGGGCTGCCCGGCGCTCGGAGCGCAGTGGGTGCCTGGCGCCCGCTCTCCAGCCAGGCTCCGGCGCGCCCCTCTCTGCGCTCCTCAGGCTCCGGGGCTCCGAGCGCTCCCCGGGCTCCCGCGCCCTGGCTTCGAAGTTGCACGACGGAAGGTGAGCGCACTCAGCGACACTCGCAGCAGCCCGCGCCGCGCCGTCCGAACCTCCGCGCGCGCCTCTCTGCGTCCCGCCGCTGCTCGCGGCTCCGGCGCCCTCGCCGGCCGCCGCCGCCTGCCACAATGCCGAGTGCTGCCGCTCGCTCGCCCTAGTGAGTCCGCGAGCTCAGGGGGACGGCGCGAGGCCGGGGCGGGGCCTGGCGGGCGGAGGCGGGGCCTGCAGGGGGCCCCGGAGGGGGGGACCTGAAGGCCACCCAGGCGCGGCCTCGGCTGAGCTGGGGGCCTTTCAGGGGGGTCCTCGCGGGACGCTGGGACTGGCGAGTTGGAAAACCCGGCCGCTGGAGCTTGGCTGGAAGTGGAGTCTGCCCAGTTTCCTTTTCTCGAAAACTAAGGACGTGTATCTAAGCCCCCTTTGGCTTGGCTGTGTCAGCTTTCTCATCTGATCAAACTGAGGACTCTCACTTTTGGCTCCTTTCGTCTGTATTACGTTCCATGCCTTCTACCTGTCGGGATGTTTCCAAAAAACAACTCTCTAAATGAGAAAATCTTGAAAACTGACGTCCTGACTTAGGTATAGATGTGGATCGTCCTGGATGGGTCTACTTGTCTGAATAACCTCAGGCAGAATTGTTTACCAGACCCCTCTAAACCTCCTGTAGCACTTTAGGGGGCTAGGACGTTAAGAACTTGCCCTCCCAGGGACAGTGGGGCAGAGCGACAGGTACAAACATTTTTGGCTCAGAATTAACTTGGGCTCTGCTCCTTACCTTCTGTGTGACCTTAAACTGAACAAGTTACCTAAACATTCTGATGCTCCCTGCATCATCATTTAAAATAGAGAAAAATTATAATTATTTCATAAGGGGGTATAGGATTGAATGAAAAAAAAAAAACTATGTATGGAAACTGCATAAATGTCAGTAATCTCTCTTTCCAAGATCTCCCCTCCCTGCCACTCTGATTCCTGGGGGGAAAGTCCTGGCCTCCCAAGGGTAAGCCAAAGGCCATTTAGAGCTAGGTGGAGTTTGAGGGATGGTGGCGTTTTAAGACTGAAACACAGAGCGTCAGAAGGGGTGAACTAGCTAACACTGGCAAAAACCTGTGCTCCAGGAATGGGATAAAGTACCTGATACGCATTACCTCAGTTAGTCCTCACAACAACTCTGAGGTAAGTAACAGTTGTATCCCCATTTTATAGATGAAGGGATAGAGGCACAGAGATGTAAAGTCATTTGCTCAAGATCACGCAGCTTGGAGAGAATGAGTGAGTGCAGGGGGCAGAGGAGATGGGATTAGAAAGAAACTCTGGGAGCTGAGGGGCCTCCACCCCCTACCTCTCAGGGGCTGGCCTGGCAGAGAAGGTTGTTGCCAGCCAGCAAGAATGCCTAGCTCTGATCTGTTCTCTACTTGGGATTTTTCTGGAGCTGGAATCTAGAATTGCTTCTCAAAAATAGGTGGCGTGGGGAAGCCTGAGGTTGGTCCAGCCAGCCCATGGAGCCTGTAGGGGATGGGCTAGAATAGGGCCAAGTGTGCCCAGGGATGCTTCCTAGGGTAAAGGACTTGGGGGCCAGAGGGGCCAGAGGAGCGACAAGTATTGCCCATACCCTCCTCCACACACTGCCGCACAGATTGGGGTCCGGAGCCTCTGGGGCAGGGTTCCTATAGTCAGCCTGCCCCTTCTGCCCTCTGTGGCTGGGTATTCAGGATCTGGAGAGTGGATGTGGGTGGAGCACGTCTTCCTAAGAAGAACTTTGGCCAACTGAGAAAGGTCCCTGTGGGCAAAGGTAGATGGTTTATTTTTAGCTTGACCCAGGACAGCCCAGGCAAGGGCAGTGGATGAGAGAGTCAATAGCTCATCACACCAAGCCAACTCCACCCACCCAGATAGCTACATGCACACACACACACACACACACACACACACACACACATGCCCCTAGACACAGTTACAGGCACACCTCGCCAATACACGCCTACAAAAGCACGCACAGGTAAACGCATAGCAAAGCCCCTCAAGTGCAAATGCAAAATGACCCTCCTAGAAACGCCTACCAATAAGCACCCAACTGCAGAGACTGCCATGTGCCTAAGACACAGGACCACAACAAGAACACACCTACCCCTTGTCACAGACACAAACATATACACAGACGTACACATCCAAAAGAACAAGTATACTCTTAAGATGACAGGAAAGCAGTAGATACTTAGATGCCTAACTACCACGAAGAAACCCATATTGGAACACGGGTACCGAGACCAAAACCGACGGTCACCATCTGGGTGCAGACACATAGTCAAGGACACTATGCTGGATAACTCATCAGAAACAGGGCAGGCAGGGAACACGGGACTGTTGCGCACACACATGCACACATGCTCTCTCTCTCTCTCTCTCTCAATCAGAAAGCCAGTGGGATTTGGAGATTTTTCCAAAAATTTCCAGTCCTCTGGACTTCACTGTTCAGGCAGTAGCTGCACCAGGTCGACCCTTCTAGTCCAGTGTCATGACTTTGTTTAATTCCTGGCTTCAGGGAAAGGGGGATGGGAGGGCAAGCAAAATTAGTGTGGTCATTTATTTACCCCTCTCCCCTAGTCTGCCCCACTGTCCTCCCCAGCCTAAAGACTCTTTCAACTCTTGAAATACGCCCATGGAGGGTGGTGGGGTCCTGGGCCCTGTTTTCCCTCCAGGACTCCAGCGTCAGGCTGGGGAACTTACCACACTCGGGATCCCTCTGCAATCCCCCCCCTCCCCCCATGCTGTAACCGTGTGAGTGCTGGCCCTCCGCTGGAGTCAAGGAAATGGCTTCAGAGGGAGTCAGAATGCCCTGAGCCCACACCTTTCCCTGGGATGGGTGAAGAATGGGCAGGGCCCAGGCCCAGGGATGACTCATGAGTGTAACTGGATTAAGAATTACCAAGGTGCTCCCAAACCCTGTGCCATCAGGCTCACAGTGAAGGTGTCCCTGCTGTGAGCTAAGGAGGAGGAGGAGGAGGTGGTGAGCTGCTTGGAGGCAGGGCCCCTCCTTTGCTGTTCACCATTATATATCTGGCTTGGAAGACAGCAGCCTGCACGTAGTAGGCCTAATGTCAATAGGGGTTGAGTGGAGCCATCAGTGAGGCTGGAAAAAGAGGGGTTACTGAGGAAAGGGCCCACAGACTTCTCAACTGGGCCCTAGAGGAACCTCCCACCTCCCCCTCCATTTCCTGGGGGCCTGGGGCCTGGGGCTGGAGTGGGGGGCTGCCTTCCTGCACCATAGCTGCTTTGAAATCAGTCCCAGAACCAGTTCTGACCCTCTCTGGAGGCTGCAGATGCTTCCACAGGCTACCCTCATTTCTCCCGAACCAGAAGAGCGTGTGGGAGACAGAATTCTGGAATCTGGAGTTGAGCCGATGTTTGATGGTCCAGGGACAGCTCTTACCTGCTTGGGGGAGGGGGTGCTGCTGAGCTTTTCCTAGCATCAGTTTCCTCGATTGTAAAATGGAAACACTACCTTCTAGAATGAAAAACAATATACACAAAGCCCCTTATCTGGCTGAATACAAGCTACTTATTTAGTAACAATACTGATTTAAACGCAGCTGTAGGGGTTGCCCCTCCCGGCGGGGCTGGCGGCTGTGGGTTGGCGCCTCCCTCTGTGACCGGGACCCGTGTGCTCGCAGCTGCCACTAGGCGGCGCGCTGCAGCTCGCATCTATAGCGCGGCCCGCTGCTGCAACTTCCTTCCATCCTGAGGTTGTGGGTCTGGAAGGGAGAAAGGAGCCCGGCTTCCACCCGGGAGCCGCCCACCAGTGGCTCGTGGCCCCTTGGCTTGTCTGGGGAAGGGAGCTCTCAGACAACTCGGGTTGGAGGATCTTGTTACAGGAGAATGGGAGGTGGAGGGGTGGGGGGATAGGGAGACGGGACGGGAGGTTTAAGGATGAGTTCATAATCCCTCCCCGGACCCATCCAGTCCATTATGGACCCCAAACACCTGGGCCCTGGTGGGGAGGCACCTAACGTCGAGGCCTCTGAAGCTCTACCATCCCTCTGTAATATTATTATAGCTAATGTTGAGTGCTTTCCATGTGCCAGGTACTATCCTGATCCTTTATATGCTGTCAACAACCTCATGAGACAGGTGCTATTACCCCCTTTATTTATCAGATAAAGGACCCGAGGCACAGAGAGGCACCTTGCCCAGGGGCACATACCGCTGGCAAAGGGACCGTGGAGATTCATATCCAGGCGGAATGGATCCCAAGTTTGTACTCCTTTTTCAATTGCACGTCACATAAAACTTATCATTTAAGAGTGTACAACTCAGGGGCACCTGACTAGCTCAGCGGCTGGAGCATGCCACTCTTGATCTTGGGGTCCTGAGTTCAAGCCCCACGTTGGGCGTTGAGCTTACTAAATAAATAAATAAATAAATAAATAAGTACGATTCAGTGTTTTCTAGGATAGTCCTAATGCTGTATGGCCATCATCATTATCTAATTCAATAGCATTTCTATCCCACACTGTTAAGCGGTTCCCTCCCCTGCGTCCCCTGCTCACCCTTCCCTCTCCCAGCCCCTGGCAGCCATGAATCTATCTTCTTGTTTCTATGCATTTGCCTGTTCTGGGAATTTCATACGAACAGAATCATAGCACTATGTGACCATCACACTCTTAACCTCAGCTAAATACTGCCACCACACCCCTCCCATTCCCCCCAACCCCAACACACATCTTTTCTCTTGTCCCCAGGGGAGAGCCTTCTCCCTGGGGTTCAAGCAACAGAAGCAGTTAGTCACGAAAGCCTTGGGGTCAGACAGATCCGGGTTTAAATCCTGGCTCTGTCTTGGACAATTTACTCACTTGCTCTGCTGTTGCCTGCTCAAAATTGTTTGTTGTTGCTGCTGTAAATTAAAAAAAAAAAAAAAAAAAGACTTTGAATTTTAAAACACTTTTAGATATACAGAAAAATTGCAAAAATAGTATAGAAAGTTTCTATACACTCTTCACCCAGTTTCCCCTACTTTTAATTATCTTACACGAGTACGTAGTATATTTGCTACAATTAATGAACCGATATTGATATATTATTATGAACTAAACTTCATATTTCCTTAGTTTTTACTTAATATCTTTTTTCTGCACCAGGGTC